GGGGGGAGGGCTCTCTGGAAGAGGTGGACCGACAGTCCTCCCGGAGGAAGGGGTAGAAGGCTTGGCTTCCCCCTCCCGGAGCATGCGAGCCCTGGTCTGTTTCGCGGTTCTCTGGGTGATAAAAATGACCTACTGTATATCCCATGTGGTGCATGATATGGGGTATGAGGAGAAGAAGGTGGCACACCGTTCTCAGGAAAGCACAGGCATCGTCCGTGGCCCGGTCTCAGCCTCCCCGTTTCCTGGCCTTTCTTTTATCACAGAAAGTCTGAGGAGGAAGGAGAGAGAGCAGAGCAAGTCCGTGGGGTGCATTTGAAGTCTTTCCCCCTTATCGGTTGCCCTTTAGCCTTAATTAATTGTTTTCTAAAATGAGATTTCCTCAGGGCATACCATCAGCTCTTTAATGAGGACCTTATACAGAACAGTACTAGAAATGACTGAGGTAGCCAGTCAACCCGGCTAGGAACAAGGATATGACCAATGCTCCCTGTAGGATCCGTATTCTGCGCACGCACGCACACACACACAAATACACACAAACACATCGTGGTAAAGCTGTGTTGGTTTGCACCCGCTCTGTGCCATTCAGCTGAAAGCTTGGAAATGTTCCTTTTTGCATAAAGCCCAGAAACATTGCTAATCCAAATTATGGTTCAGGTGTTCAAAAGCTAGAATCCTGCAAAGCGCACTGAGGCTAATTTGCTAACAATTTACCCCAGTTTAGATGCTGTAAATCCTGCAATGTTGTTTGAGATTTCTTTGGCTTATAAATGGTGGTTGAGAAAAGACCAGCTCCGGGAAGGGGCTCTCTGTTTCTTCTGCCCACGTTTACTCTGTTTTTGTTTTTTTGGTTTTTTACAGGGCCTCAGCCAGCCCGCTGCCCACCCAAGGGCACCAAAGTTCCTCAAAGGCTTCTTTCCGTGTCTGTCAATAGAGCAGCCCACCCTGCGTGGAGCTTGTCTGCACTGCAGTGGCCTTGAGTCAAATAGCCCCGAGGCTCCATAAAAGTCCCCGCTGCTGCTTCAGTTCTTCGCCATCCTGGCGGCTCCTTGCATCATCCCTGCCTTCCGAGGGTGCCTCGCCCTGGCCTGAGATAAGGTTGCCCTTTGCTCAGGCATTGCCTTTCTTCCCTGGGTGGCCTTGTGGTTTCAATGGAGCCAGGATATTGTCCCCCTGACCTTCTCTGTAATCCTGCCCAGGCCCCCTGGAAGCCCCCCTCCTGCTCTCAGCTGTGCCGCCCCCCACCCTGTGGAGAGACCAACCGGTTCCCTCCATCCTCCCAGCCCTGTCCATCTCACTGTAAGTCCTGCTGGCATTTCATCAAGTAGCTGCCTGTTGTGGCCCAGCGTGGGGACATCAGCCTTCCATTGCTCTGCAAGGAAGGCCCCCTCTGGGGGGAGCTCTGCCAGGCACCTTCTGGACACCCCCCCCCCTTTTGCCTGCCAATCTTGACTTAAGGTGTGAACTTGTTCGAAAGGTGCTTTCCCGGTGCACCTTCCCCACGGGCATGATGTGCAGAGAGCCAAGAGAAGAACCAGTGGCTTGTGTGGAGCTCGTGCACACAGCCCTTCTTCCCCCCCAACACACACACACACACACACACACACACACACACACACACACACACCCCTGTCTCCAGCTGGCAGGGGTTGCTTCCATTGGATGGGCTCACCTGTTTTGGTCCCTGTGAGGAGCAGACCGAGTAATGAAGGAGTGTGCCATTTGGGGCACGGGTGTTCAGGGTGGGTCGAGGTGGAGCATTTTGGAGGAGGGCCTCCCCTGCAGAGGCAGAACTTGTACGAGAGCCGTGGTTCTCCAGGGCTTCTGGCAGCTCTTTTTCCCAGCCCCTCCTGGACATCTCAGGGGCTCCCTGGTGGCCTCCTGCCTGAAGACCCACCAGCCCTCATCCTGCTTAGCTTCTGGAGTCAGAGGGCATCAGATGAGCCATCAGATGGGATGGTGGAGTACCCACAGTGGTGCCCAGCATGACATGGAATGGACAGCGAGGGAACGGGCAGATCACAGGCATGCCCACAACCCGTGTGCCGGCATTGGCTTGGTCTGAGTGCCAGGCTGTGAAGGCAGGCATTGGTGCAAGATCGCCTGAGGCTATGACGTTGCCCTCCTGCAATGATGTCTCCAAGAGGACCGAGGAGGTAGATTTGGGGGGCCCTGTGCCCGGTTCTCAAGGGTCGTTCCTGGCAAGCTCTTGTCTCTCCTAGGTAGCTTCTCGTGCCAATGGCCACCGCGCACATGCTGCACATGTGGAAGTGGGGTGGTCCTTTCCCCTTTCGGTTCCAAAGGGGGAGGAATCCCAGCCCTGCCACCCACAGCCTCCCATCTTCCTCCATTTCAGCCGAGAGCCTGAGGGGAGGCAGCCATCTCTGTGGAAGTCCTGCACTGGCTGGGCCCCTTGGTGGGCTTCTTGGAGCCTGAGGGGGGGGCTGGCCTCCACCCCACAAGTCTGCTGCAGCACATGGGTGGCCCGCGTGAAGCCTGCCTGCAGGAGGAGGAGGAGGGGGAGGGGGGGAGATGTGCTTGGCCAGCAGCTGATAGCAGACAGTGTGCTGGGGCAAGTGATTGGGGGTGGGGGGAAGAGGCATACGTAAGAACTGTCTGGCCCAGAGGAGGGAATGCTCCAGGACTGAAGAAGGGGTAACTGCTTGCCACCCCGGGAGTTTTCCCCTCCTTGCCTCATCTGCATATCAGTGTCGTTTGTTCTTTGATTGGCCTTTGGGGGCCAATCTGTCAAGCTGTCTTGAGAAGCAAAATTGGCCATTTCACAAAGGCCATCCTGAATCATGTCTCTGGAATGCTCATGTTCTTAGGTCACAGCAAAGGGGGACCCAAGGAAGAATTTCTCCCTGGTGGTCCGGAGGGTCCTTGTGGTGGACAAGAAGGCCAGGCCATGGCACCGGCCTCTTCTCAACAAGGGGCCTGGCTCTGGTGTTCTCCCACCCAAACCCTCTTGCTGATGCAGTAACCCTGCCTGCTGGAGCACTAGGGAGGGCTCGGCGGATCCCCGGGGTGACAAAATCCTGGGGAAGGGCCGTCTTAAGGCTGAGAGGGAGGAGGCGGAGGGTGTGTGTGTCTGCATCTGTACCTGTAGGCATGTGTCTCCCCTCCCCTCCCTGGTTCGCGCTCAGGTTATGTTAGTAGGGGAGGGTGCCACGTTGGGCCCAAGGTCCACCGCCTCCTCTGTTGTATGTCCAGCAAATCCCCTGCCCTAGAGATAAGGAAAGGTGTGTTTGGGGTGGGGTCGACAAGTTGTTGTTTTTCTCCCTAGTAAAGGCAGAGGCTTCTCACCCCCACCCATCTTTTTTTTTCCTGCCCATGGTGGGGGCCCGTCAGGAATTCTATAGAGAGAAAGTTGCTTAGGGGCCATGATGGGCCCAGGGCACAGGAGGGGCTGGAAAGGATGGGAGGATGCTGCTCTCTTCCTGCCCCACCAAGTTCCTGTTGCTCTGGCCTCCTCCTCCCCCCCCCCGGGGGTGCTGAGCAAGGATGTTGTGGAGCAGCTCCTGCAGAGCCAGAGGACCCAGGAGGAGAGGGAGTTTGGGCAGCTGTGGGTTTCCCACCTCCTTGGGGACCAGCAGGAAGAGGAGGAGGAGGAGGAGGAGGCCACCACCAGGGAGGCAGCAGATCCAGAAAGGTCCTGGCGAAGAGGGGGAGGGACCTTGAGGCCCCTTGAGGCGTCTGGGGGGGTCAGTTTCTGCCCGAGACACACACACACCCCCGCCGCTGCCGCCTTGGCAGGTCTGGCCAAGAGGGCAGCAGGTCGGAGGAAGGCCTGGGGCAGCTGCACCGGGCATCTCTCCCTCCACCGGCCGGAGCCAGACCGTGCAACCCTCTGGCTTCCCTCCTGCCTCCTGCTAGGCTGGGCGTGGCCTTGACTCGCCTGCGATAAAGCGGTTGCTGCCCATCCCCACCCCTCACCCCCACCCGGCTTTGCCTGAAGGATCCTGTGTCAAGATCCGCCGCCCCACCCCCGCCGCGGAGAGGAGCGGGGCAGAGGAGGGCCCTGCACCGGCCCTTCCTGCGCGTCTCCTTCG